GGGCAGCCGCGGTCCCCTCCCCGACGAGTCATGTCTGCAGGGGCGGCTGACGGGGCTGGGCGGAGAGGACCTTCCCACCATTGTCATTGTGGCCCATTACGACGCCTTCGGAGTGGCCCCTGTACGTATGTGCCCCCACTCGGGACTGGAGCAGGGCCACCCTCAGTGAGGCTCCTGGGCTGAGACGGGCCGAGCTGGGGGACCCGTGGCAGAGGGGTGGGCAGGCCAGCATCTGGTCCCCAAGGCCACCCCCAGGCATGACGCCGGGCTGGGAGGACCCAAGACAAGACCACAGTCATGCTCGGGCCGTGGGTGGTCCTGGTGAGAGGACACAGCAGAGAGGGCAGAGGTGCATGGGGTGAGCCCACGGGGGTTCGGACAGTGGGGGGGGCTTTGAGGAAGTCGGGGTTCAGACAGTGGGGATGCCCCAGCGGCGCAGGGCGGTGGTGGGGCGGTGACGCGGCCCTTGCCCTGTGCCCCCAGTGGCTGGCGCTCGGCGCCGACTCCAACGGCAGCGGCGTCTCGGTGCTGAAAAAAATGGAGCTGGCCCGCCTCTTCTCCCGGCTCTACACCTACAAGCGCACCCACGCCGCGTAAGTGACCATCGGGTCGGGGCCCGCGTCGCACCCTGCAGGCCGCCCCTCCACGACAGAGGACCTGCCCGTTCTCGGGGTGTTCGTGGGAGCCCGCCCTCCCAGTCTGACAGGCACACATGTCCCGGACTCCGCCGGCGTCCTGGGCTGGGGGGCAGGGAGAGCCCCGTTCTAGAGACCGCTCAGCTCTCAGGACCAGGGCGCAGGCACAGGGAGTGGGGGCCGACCTCACGTGAGCCAGGAGCTCGGTGCCGTAAGGGAGGCCCAGGCGCCAGGGTCACGGTGGGACACAGACCGCCCAGGACTCGGCCCGGGGCCCTAGGCCCACCAGCCTCCAGTCTCCCCACAGACCCTCCAGCCCCGTGGGGCCTCTGTCCTCGTGGACCCCGTGGTAAACTGACGGGCTCCGGGGAACCGGGGAACGTGGGGGGCGCCAGCTTCTGGCACTCAGCCCCTCCCACTCAGGGTAGAGGATTCCAGGACTTTAGGAGGGTGCAGGATCTGGGGCCATGGAACCCCCAGCATAGAGGGGCCTCACCTGGGAGCTGCTGCCCCAGGGGGCACAGGCTGCGTCTGGGGACATCTGTGGCTGTCACGACTGGGAGGCATCCTGACATGGAGTGGGTGGAGCCCGGGACGCCCACGGGGACGGGCAGGGAGCTGTGCTAGGGGCTGGGCAGGACCTGGTGTTCCTGGGTGACCGTGGAGCCTGCGCTGGCCCTCCCTGGGACCCACTGCCCGAGGCCGCTCGCCTGACCACGCTGACGCCCGGCCCTCCCTGCCAGGTACAACCTGCTGTTCTTCGTGTCCGGAGGGGGCAAGTTTAACTACCAGGGCACCAAGCGCTGGCTGGAGGACAACCTGGACCACACAGGTGCTGCGGGGCGGGGCGGGGCGGGGCGGGGCACCTCGCGGTCGGGGCGCACCCGCTCACCGGCTCTCGCTGCCCACAGACTCCAGCCTGCTGCAGGACAACGTGGCC